GAGAGAGAGAGAGAGAGAGAGAGTTTTGAATCGTACACAACCGGCGATGGTGTGTCGTGGGTGGAGCGTGTGTAAAGGGAAAAAATATAGATAGAAAAAGGGAAGAATGATCGCGGAGAGAAGAGAAATTCGGAGGTGGTTCTAACCTCGCTTCCTCCTTCTCGATCTCGCAATCGGTGACACAAGCGGCTCGGCTCACTCGCGCGCGCTCAAAGTGTACGCGCTCTAGCTTCGTGTCCGCTCTATTTCCGTGTGTTTTCTTTGGTGATGCTTGCAGCTGCGCTCTTCGTAACGACCGTGGTGATTTTTATCAAGTATTTTTGGGTCGCGAGTTGTTGTGCCCGTTTTCCATTTTCCACGGCCCGATTCCATCCGTGGCTTGACCGCTCCTTTCCATCCGTGGAATTTCAACGATACTTCTCAAATACCTATATATATATATATATATATATATATAGATTTGTAAATATACTTCAAGAATGAATTTACGCGGTAAAATAAGTGGAAAAAAGAAACGTTGTATAAACGTGTGTGTCCCACATACCTTGGATTTCGGGTCACGGATGATTAAAGAAAACGTTGCCACCACGATCCCCTCGATCTCGATTCGTTAAATTTTTACTCTCTTACTCGTCTAACGATCGATCTGCAAAGGAAAGGAAAAAAAAATAATAATAATTCGAGAAGTGAAGTTGCGTTAATAATTGTACGTGAAACTTTATATCCTTCATATCATTCTCATTAATTATCCACGATAAGAGAAAACGTATATACTTGTTTTTACATAAATTCTCCTCGAATGCGGACACGTCGATTTACCAATCACGGTACACTGTAGATCGAGTCAAACGATCATTCCTCTAATGTGCACACACACACACACACACACACAGAAGCAGCAGCATTATCGTATCACGCGAGATACGATCTCAAGAGAATCAACATCATCTCCCCTCGCGTGTTGTCACCGGCGATTCCTCAGGTGCTCCCATCCGCCTCCCCTCCCGCGTCACGACCGCGTGATAGCCGCGATGCTTACAGACGTATATACATCGACCATCGACGTGTAATGAGTGTGCGACACGAGCGAGGATCGCACGACGGACGACGCGATTCGCAGGTGCAACAGGCATGCGTGGAACTCGAAAGGTGTTCTCGATCCAATTCTCGCGCGTTAATACTCTTCTTCTTCTTCTTTTTCTTCTCTCGTTTTAAGATCCGAAAAGCGGGATCAAAGTTCATTAATTAAAAAAATTATTAATGGAAGGATTCTTTTTTTTTCGTGGAACTCGAAGAGTGTTCTCGATCCAATTCTCGCGCGTTAATACTTTTCTTCTTCTTCTTCTTCTCTCGTTTTAAGATCCGAAAAGCGGGATGAAAGTTTATTAATTGAAAAAAAATTATTAATGGAAGGATTCTTTTTTTTTCGTGGAACTCGAAGGGTGTTCTCGATCCAATTCTCGCGTTAATATTCTTCTTCTTCTTCTTTCGTTTTAAGATCCGAAAAGCGGGATCAAAGTTCATTAATTGAAAAAAAATTATTAATGGGAGGATTCTTTTTTTTTCGTGGAACTCGAAGGGTGTTCTCGATCCAATTCTCGCGTTAATACTCTTCTTCTTCTTCTTCTCTCGTTTTAAGATCCGAAAAGCGGGATCAAAGTTCATTAATTAAAAAAATTATTAATGGAAGGATTCTTTTTTTTTCGTGGAACTCGAAGAGTGTTCTCGATCCAATTCTCGCGTTAATACTCTTCTTCTTCTTCTTTCGTTTTAAGATCCGAAAAGCGGGATCAAATTTCATTAATTAAAAAAATTATTAATGGAAGGATTCTTTTTTTTTCGTGGAACTCGAAGGGTGTTCTCGATCCAATTCTCGCGTTAATACTCTTCTTCTTCTTCTTTCGTTTTAAGATCCGAAAAGCGGGATCAAATTTCATTAATTAAAAAAATTATTAATGGAAGGATTCTTTTTTTTTCGTGGAACTCGAAGGGTGTTCTCGATCCAATTCTCGCGTTAATACTGTTCTTCTTCTTCTTTTCTCGTTTTAAGATCCGAAAAGCGGGATTAAAGTTCATTAATTGAAAAAAATTATTAATTCTTTTTTTTTCGTGGAACTCGAAGGGTGTTCTCGATCCAATTCTCGCATTAATACTCTTCTTCTTCTTCTCTCGTTTTAAGATCCGAAAAGCGGGATGAAAGTTTATTAATTGAAAAAAAATTATTAATGGAAGGATTCTTTTTTTTTTTCGGTGGAGGAAGATGAGAAGGAATAGAAGGAGGGAAGGAAGAGGGAGGGCGCGCGAAGTTGGCACTACGAACGATCGTTTAGAAGGAAAAACGATCCTCTAGGAGGAGTTATTTTAATAATGAGGGTAGACCGCCTCTTTGTGGCTGCGCTCTCTTTTCTTTTTCTCCTTGCCCGCGCCGACAAGCGTGTGAGCATCGTGTGATTACGCGTGATTATTTCTTGCGTGCAAACGATAGGCCGCCGCATCCGGAGGGGATCGATTAATTGATTTCTGTTATATAAAAAAAAAAAAAAGCGGGAGGACTACGAAGCTTTTACGAGTATACGTACCGTTCCACATCCTCGATCGTAATCCTCTCTATTTTGTGTCGCGAGACTTAGACTTGTTTATCGCATATCGTAGGATCGTTGACATCGAGGCGATGTAAATTCTAATAGATTCAAGGAAGCCTAGTTTTCGTTGGGGAGGGGGGAGGCAGAGAGGGGAAAGC